GAGGCTTTCTGCTCCCGTAAAGATTTCCAGCCTCGGAAACCCTGGACAAGGTCGCTATGAGTTGGAACTGACTCCACAGCACTCAACAACAACAATTAATGCAGGACCAGAAATGCTCAGGGCAGAGTTCTTCCTGTCAAGACAGCCTCTCCTCAGCCACACCCACAGGCAGGCCTGGCTCTGAACTTTGGCCTTTGACCTTGCCTCTGCCCTGCTCAAGCAATGTTACAAAGCTCTTTTAGGGTTGCAGATAAATGTTCAAAGGACATTCTGCCTCAGCCTAAAAGCACTCGGCTCTAGCTCCATGGGTCAGTAAACCCAGCTCCCTAAGTGCCTGAAGGCACCCCACTCCACAAATGAGCCTTCTGCCCAAAGGTCCTCAGCTTTGTTTGCTCCACATATTGTAAAGTCGAGCTCTTGTCTGATGCTCTGGTTCTTGGTTCTACTGCCCCTGCTCTTCTGCCACTCCTCCACCACCACAGCTTTCTTGCCCCTGGGTTGAGGAGGTTCATTGCCCAGGGATCTGCTGCTCCTGGGTCCTCCGCCTCTTTTTTTTTCCTTCTCTTTATACCTGGTACTTTATTAGTGATGAGATTTGTCTTGGTCTGGGAGAGGAAGCTGAGATGGAGAAGGCAGGTGCCCATCTGGGGGACTTTTCCTGACATCAGATATTTCTCCACTTAGGTTTAGAGAAACACCATCATTAATAAAACCCCTCACGAAAGGCAACATAGAAAGCAACCTGGGATGGGCTGCACCCTAGGGTAGAGGGCCTCCCTGTCAGTGTCAATGACTGGGATGCAATGGCTTCACACAGCCACTATCACACCTACCAGGAACTTCTCAACGTTTCAGGCAATATTACAGCACACTGGAGCCCCAGATGATAAGCGTGGGGTTGGTCATGGAGTGCAGTGGTATTGTGACTGTATGCTGGCAGGTGAGCCATTCGTCTCACACTTGAAAAGGGAGAACTTGGGCTCAAACCCCGCTGCCTGGCTGGACATGCTTGAGGGAATTCAGGATCTCTTTGTTTCTGGCATTCTCCTGATGCCCAAACTAGTTGCACAGTAAGCCGAGCAGAACCAGGCCCCTGGACTGAGTGCTACAATTCATCTGGATATAATCCCAGACCACAGTGCCTCCAAGTAATACCACGTTCTCACTTGGCAGCATCTTGCCCCACAGTGAGCCCAGGCAAGCAGCGCCCCCCCCAACCTCCCACCGCTGACACCTTTTCTTTGATGGCAGTGAGAGCCTCCTTCTTGTTTCTGACGTGGCTCGTTTTATACCCACATTAGAGTTTCAAGTTTTTACAATCACAATTAGCTGTTAACAATCACTCACAACTGAAGCATATCATGCTATCAGCATCTTCTCCCACCTGGACCCATCGGGGTAACTGTTCTGCTATGGGTGGTGGTGGTGGTTGTGTGCCGTCAAATGTTCTGACTCATAGTGACCCTGCATAGTGTTTCTGAAGCTGTAGATCTTCACGGGAGCAAACAGCCTCGTCTTTCTCCCACAGAGCTGCTGGTAGATTCAAACTACTGACCTTGCAATTAGCAGCCCAACTTGTAGCCCACTATACTACCAGGGCTGCTTCTACTATGAGTAGAAAAGCCATGTGAAGTAATGCATTTTAATCAAACTAGAGTTGGACAAAATATAATGGGAGGGGGGGACATTAATGCAGCTACATCTGTAATTATAACTTTAACACCCACAAAAGATTGGTGGTGTTTGCGTGCGATGGAGCCCATTCTGATTCATAGCAACCCTGTGTAGGGTTCACCGAGGCTGTAAATCTTTACAGGAATGGAACACCACATCCTTCTCCTGCAGAGCAACTGGTAGATTTGATTCAAACTGTTGACCTTGCAGTTAGCAGCCTAACTCAACATACTACCAGGGCGCCTTCACAATACACTTGTTGTAAAATGCCATTGAGTCAGTTCCAACTCATAGCCACCCTATATAGGGAAACCCTAGGAGCAACTGGTGAGCTTGAAATGCCGACCTTGCAGTCCAGTGCATTAACCCATGTCACACCAGAACTCTCACAATACACTGTTGTTGTTATGTGCCATGGAGTCGGTTCTGACCCTTAGTAACTCTGTACAGTGTTTCTGAGGCTGCAAATCTTTACAGGAGCAGAAAACTTCCTCTTTCTCGCACATAACAGCTGGTAGTTTGGAACTGCTGACCCTGAGGTTAGCAGCCCGATTTGTAACCACTACGCTACCAGAGCTCCTTTTGCATATCATCCACCAGGCCACAAATCAGTAGGCTCTTGGTTTTCCCATACTATTGTAGACCATCTGTATCATTATCATCTGCTTGTTAAAAATGCCCCACTTCAGACCTACTGAATCTGCATTTAACCACAGTTCCCAGGTGATTTAGTTGCTCATTAAAGCTTAAAGATCACTGACCGTGCAGTTTTCATATCAATTGGCCCCTATGGTCTATGAGGGAACACTGTGTTCTCAGATCCAGCGTGCACACAACCATTTATGAAAGCCAATGCTGCTATAATCCTGTCCTTTGCTGAATATAGTTAACCTTTACCATCTTTCCACAACAACAAAAATTTGTTTTCATGTATTGTTGGTTTTATAGTTTTAACAGTGTTTAATCTTTTCTACTTGCCTTTCATAAAGTTGATTTGTCTGGCTTTAATTTTATACCTGAAAATAATTTGTAACCTTACAGTTACAGGTTGTTGTTGTTGTTGTTGTTAAGTGTCTCTGAGTCAGTGCCAACTCATAAGACCCTGTATAGGGCTTCCGAGGAGTGGCCAGTGGGTTTGAACCACTGACCTTGTGGTTCACACTGACTTTGCAGTCCAGTTACTTAATGTCTGTTTGGAAAATATCCCTAGTTTATGTACATTCATGGTCCCATAATGCTGGTGGATTTGAACCGACGACCTTGTAGTTTAGTAGTCCAGTGCTTATCCTAGAGCACCACACCAAGACTCCAACTTCACCCTGAGCTATAGCTTTTCAGTCCCGTCACCTTGTAGTTCAAACTGATCTTGTGGTTCTATGCTTTATCCCACAGTGTCACACCAGGACCCCCAACAATGAATAGGTTAACACTGCCAGGTCCTGTTACATAAAATCATTGTGGGTTTGCTTTTCCCTTCTCTCAAGTTTTCTTATAAGCTAAGTAAAGGAAACACAGTTAATGGGTAGTATTGGGTCTCTGCGTGTGGCAGGTTAGCCATTTGCATTCAGACTCAAGGTGTGCAATCTCACAAAGGAATGACATGCCTCAGTGTCATGCCAAATTGATTATGCCTGTGTCAATATATTAGATTTCATCTAGAAAGAAAGCAAAGCATAAGGAAACTTGAATATACTCCACAAAAAGGGAGCTCTGATTGAAAATCCATGGTGCAAGTGCTTCTATAAAGATATTTGTGCTTCTTTAACTGGATGGTGTTTGGTTCACTGGGACTTTTGAAGGTGCGCCTTTAGAGAGGAAGTTGAAGAGGGAACATGTCAATGTGTCTCTGCCCTTGGATCACTCATACCCAGTTCAGTGGAGTCAGGCAGAGAATAAAGATTAATACTCAGGAGCAGGGCTTTGATCCAGTTCAGTCGTGGCCAACGCAGCAGACCTGAATTTGTAAAATGTGGGTGTACCAGAATGATAACCAGAACCGGGAAAATTACCTGTCAAAGTCCTGAAATGGGAGACTTAGAAGAGGCAAAGTGAGCTCTTCCAAGAGCTTTATAATGGGAGACTGGATTCTTTCCAGGACTGTAAAAACTGACAAGTTCAGAGCAGCGGTCATCCACTACTTCTGAGTCAGGCACCGCTGTTGCCATCTCTGCCACTCAAGAGAGTTGGTTGCTGTGCAACGTGCATCCTGCCGTCTTTTCTAAGAGGAAGATTTCGTTGCTAGCAGGGCATCAACCTATTTTTCCCATTCTGGTTTTCATGTCAGTACACTCACATTTTACAAAACTGGTTCCATTTTACTGTTGTTTCATTGGCTGTGACTGAACCAAGAAGCCTTAGTTAGCTAGGATAAAGGTCAGACTTCATCAGGTGCTAGGGAATTGCTAATCCCACTATTCTGGATGACAGATTATCAGTGTAAGAAGGTTTTGGTAAAGTGGGGAAGGGCTTCCTGGAGATGCTTTAAAAAAAGCAGGAGATACAAACAGAAGAGTCACATGTGAGCGAAGAAGACTTAGCTAATTGTCAATGCCCCGAACCAGATACTGGAGTGAAGTGATGATAGAAGAGCCCTACTCAGTCCTCCATCCAGGAAATTAGGGGTTCTCAAAAATGGTTGAAGAGGGCTGGAAAATGGACTAAATCAGAATCCCGAGGAGCTTTGTTAAAAAACACCTACCTAGGTCCTTACCCCAGAGCCTATGTCCTCCCAGAGCATAAACAACATAGTTTACTAGTTGAAAACTTGAGCTCAGAGCTAGTCACACTGGAGATGGAATTCTAGCTCTACCTTTACTAGCTATGTGACCTTTACCCAACTAGTAAATCCCTTTTATCCCCACTTTCATATCTGTAAAATGATGATGGTATCTGTAGTACCTACGTTATGGGCATGTTATTGGAAATGGGAGAAAAATACACTGCAAAATGCTTTGTCATAGAAGCAGATACTCAGTGAATGTAACTTTTTCTTTCATGACTGGAACATAAGTTTATCGTGATGAAAATTTGAGCCCTTGCTTAACTCTGAAAAGAATAGCAAGATGAACAAAATAGCTTTTATTATAATTCTAGATATCACTCTATTTTAAGAACATTAAAGTTATGGTACATACCTAAACTTAAAATTTCATTTGAAAAACATGCTTTTGAGTTATAATGAATATAAAATGTTGTCATCCTGCATATGAATTTCCTCCAAACATAAATAGTTTTTCATCACTTGTGATGACAACAAATTTGCTGATTCAGAAAGCATTGTCTGACTGGTTCTCTTCCCTTCCTACCATCCTATCCCAACCGAGAAGAATTCCTTGACCAGGAGTGCACCCCTTCCCAATGACTCCCAGGCCCGCAGTGGGGCTCGTTTCCACACTTCCTATGACAGAAGATATGTTATCAAGACCATTACGAGTGAAGATGTGGCCGAGATGCACAACATCTTGAAGAAGTACCACCAGGTAAATTTTTTTAACTATTGGAATCTCAGAGAGGTTAAAATCTATGACTAGTGATCATTGGGAATCAAACCATGCTCTAGGGAATTCACAGTGCTAACTTCCTCTTGTGCCACTATTAGAAAATCATTATTTTGTTATCTAGAAAAGTCTCATTATGCAACATTTTTTTTCCTTAGAAACATTATTTGAAATATAATGTAAAAGATCTTAATGACCGAGAATCACCCTTATCGGTACAATTGTTTGAAAGATACTAAGGAGTCCTAGTGTGACGCTGTAGGATAAGCACTGGACTGCAAGATAAGTTTGAACCACAAAGTCAATAGTTCAGACTCACCAGCTGCTCCTCAGAAACCCTACACAGGGTCGCTATGAGTCAAAACTGACTTGATGGCAGTTAGCAACAACAAAAAGTCAGATGACTTAGAACCTAGTTTGTTACTTAGGTGATCTCTGAACCTCAGTTTCCTCATGTATACTTCATTCATTTTTTTGTTCCACCTTACTCTCAACCTTATTCCAGAAAAGATTTAAGGTGACATTCAAACTAGTTTGAAATATAAGGTGTAATTAATGAAACAAAAATGGGACCATAGAAAAGGATGAAAAATCCAAAATGGAGCCAAAATGAGACTAAAAATTCATGCCATGATGACCCGCGTACTTGCTGTGGAGGGCAGCTTATTTGACTCTGGCTTCCCATCAGCTAAGGTGGAAAGGGCAACCTTAGTAAGTCCGTTACACAGCTAAGGTGTCTGAATATGGAAATGATTGCAAAGGAGAAATGTAACTGTTCTTGGTACTAAGATATGGCACGATTGTCTCTAAGGACTACCCAAGAATTTAACACAACTTTTAAAACAATTGTCAATATAGGTTGCTGAAATCATGTCAACATAGAATTTAAATTCAGCAAGTGCAGTTCTAGAGAAGGGGGTCAAAGCGCACACTAGCTGGCTACCTCTCTGCCAGTCTGGTTCATCCAGGCATGATATAGAATGTTCTTCTAGCTACTATTCTCATGACCACTTCAAATGAGTTTGAACAGAGTTTCAACAAAGCGGTTTGATGAGCTTTGCATGGCATGAGTTCAACCTTGAGTATCCTCTGTGTGATCAGACACAGGCCTCTTCATCTGGGGAGAGCCTTCCAAACATGGCCATCCTGTCATTCTGTTCAATTATGCTCAGAGGTATGAGGTATACCCGTTTATAAGACCTTTTATTTCCACTTGAAGGAAGGAGTCCTAGGCAACTTTCAAGGAGTGCTGATGTTGTAGTTAAGTTATGCATTATTCAGGAGTTTGACTCCACCTGCTGCTCTGTAGGAGAAAGATGAAGCTTTAAAGATTTACAGCCTCGGACTTCAGGACCCAGATGGTAGAGTAGACAGACTCACTGAGCAGACCCTCTGCAACAAAGACATGAGAGACCAAGTGAAACCTATGCAGATGATGATCCTGGAACCCTGAGCTGCAGAGGACAGGATAGAGAGGTGGAATGAGTCCTGAGTGGAAAAGGAAGCTGATTTGGAGCAGCAAAAGAGAACATAAGCAAGCAGACTGTCATCTGGCCATCTTGATTGGCTAGTGATACTACAGCCTGCAGGCACGGGATCCAGCTGGAGGTTGTTGGCAAGGGGAATGCGGTTCTCCCTTGTACCATGGCCTCCTGTAGCTGGGGGCATGTTTGGTCACTGCACTCACCAACCCAACAGTCAGTGGTGCCCCCCTCCTGTGCAGCCTTGGCTATGCCTGGGATCGTACACTGGGAGTGCCACCCCTGCTTCTAGAAGCATGTAAACCCACCCTGAACTCTACACAAACAACAGAGAACTGCATTACACTTCAGTCTCTATCACATCTCCTAGGAGACAGGTGGTGGAGTGCCTGAGAACACAACATTTAATCATCAATTAAATATAAATATCATACCACAGTGTCTTGGAGAAAACAGAGAATTTCCGCTTACACTAAGAAACAAGACAGAGTGCCTCAAACAAGTGACCAAAATACAGAATCAGAAAGTATAATACCAGAAGTGGGATCAGAACTACTTGATATAGAATCTGAAAAATGATATTTAGGTTCTTTCAGAAGAATTGAGAGAAAGATCAAGGAAAGCAAGAAGAACACAGAAAAACTTTAGACAAATTTAGGAAAATTCTACAAAAACAAAATGACAAGAGAAATGAAAAATTGGAAAGATACAAAAACAGCAATTAAAAGATTTATATTAAGAATTCAGAAATAGTACATTGAAAAGGCAATGAAGTGGAATTGAACAATGGAAGGCCAAATTACGGAACTTAAAGATAAATCTCTCAATCTTCATCTGCTAGAGAAACAATCAGAAAAAAAATAATTTAAAAAAAGGAAAAAAGTCTAAGATTTATGTAGGACACTATCAAGAGTAATTATGTGTGATTGAAATTCCAGAACAGGTAAAGGGAAAGAAAAGCATAGTGAAAATTTCAGAGTTGTTGGAAGAAAATTTTCCTAACAGCATGAAAGGCAAGAAGATATGTTTCAAGAAGTTGAACAAATTCCAAACAAGCCAAAGAGGAAATTACCAAGATGTTTTATAATCAAACTTTTCAAAAACAAAGGCAAGGAAAAAAATCCTGAGAGTAGCTCAGGAAAATAAAAAGTTACCTACAAAGGAGAACTAATAAGACTAAAGTCTAGTTTCTCAGCAGAAACCTTGCAGGCAAGAAGACAATGGGATGGCATCTATAAAATGATGAAAGAAAAACGTGTCAACCAATAATCGCATACCTAGCAAAATTGTCCATCAAATATGATTCAAAATCAGGACATTGCCAAATAAATAGAAATTAAAAGAATCCAAACTAACCTTACAAAATATACTTAAGGGAGTTCTTTGGACAGAGAACACAACCTGAGACTAACACATATGACAGTATCAGCCAGAACTCAACTCAGATATTGTTTTTGTTGTTGTTGTGAAGTGCCGTCGAGTCGGTTCTGACCCATTAGTGACCCTGCATAGGGTTTCCAAGGAGCAACTGGTGAGCTTGAACCACTGAGCTAGTAATTCAAACGGCTTTGCAGTCTGGCGCATTAACCCACAGTGCCACACCAGGACAGTATGCAAAGTAAAACAAATCAAGTCAGTTCCGACTCATAACAACCGTGTGTAGGGTTTCCAAGGTGTGGCTGGTGGGTTTGAGCCACCAACCTGCTGTTAGTAACCAGGAATTCCTCCACAGAGCCACACCAGGGCTCCAAAATGACAAACCTGAAAATAAGGAGCCAGAGATAGCAACAACAACAAATCATGAAGTGAAAAGAGGGAATAATGTCATCACAGAACTTACAAATGAAGAGGACATCAAGTTGAACTCATAAAAAAAATAAACTTAACTGTAACCCTAAAACGCCCAGTCCCTGCCTCTAACACTAACCCTAGTCCTGACCATAACCCTAATACTAAACAAAGTCCTAGGCCTTGCCTAGATTTAGCCATAGTCCTAACCCTCCCTCTTACTCCCACCACCACCCCCAGCTTTTTGTTTTGTTTTGTTTTTAATAAATAAAATTGAAGGGGGAAAATAATCCACATGAGTTGCAAAAAAGATATATAAACTTGGAAACCCTCTACAGGGTCACCTTAAGTTGGAACCAAGTCAACAGCACACAACAACAACACAGACTACGTTCAGGTTCCCGGGGGCACAAGCAGTTTGCTCTCAACTATGAATTTAAAGGTTGGTAGTTCAAACCCACCCAATTCTGCCATGCAAGAAAGAGCCTGGTTCCAAAAACATCACAGCCAAGAAATTCCCACAGAGCAGTTGGACTTTATGACACGTGGGGTTGGGAAAACAGTGCACTGCTTTAGTATAGATATTCTTTTCTTCATATTTTTGTTAGGTTACAATAAACTCTAAGTACTGGTGTGGCATTGTTGGATAAGCATTGGACTACTAACTGCAAGACTGACCATTCAAACCCACCAGCCACTCCTTGGAATCCCTATACAGGATCACTATGAGTCAGATCGAATCAGCGGCACTTAACATCATTACATCAGAATAAAGTCAGGTCTTATAAATGATGATTATTAACTGAACGGCTACCCAATATCAGTACAGCATACAAAAAAGGAAAAAATAGTCAAGAACCTACCGCAATGTTTTATTTCCCCTAAATGTACTGATTTTTAAATTTTTTTTGGTTTTTGCACACTGACATGAACCCTTTGGGTGTTCTTGTAACATGTAGCTTTGGCCTCAGTTAATGTCAGTTCATTATGTTAGTAATGTCAATAAAATCCTAGAAGTTTTAGGAAAAAGACTAGTTTACAATGTAGATAATCAAGAAATCGTTAAGAATATCTTAACCTTTGAAATACAGAGTTTAAGTTTATATTTGTTACTATTATTAATTTCAAAATGACTAAATTTATCCATTTTTTTGATAACCTAAAGATATTTTTTCTCATCGTTTAGTACTTGGAAAATGATTAGTAAACAACTTATGCCTAAAAATCTGAACTTCTGGTTAAATAAACCTTGTTGCAAAAAAACAAACCTATCTGCCGAGTCAACTCATAGCCACCCTATATAGGGTCCTGAGTTTTTGCAGCAGCAGACAGCCTCACTGTTCTCCCATGGAGTGGCTGGTGGGTTTGAACCTCCAGCCTTATGGTCAGCATCCCTCTAAGCCTCAGAATCACCAGGGTTCCTTAATAAGTTTATTAGTATCTCAAGTTTCAATAGTGATTTTAGGGTGAACATTGACTTCTCTGGAAACTCCTTAGGGTGCATCCATAAAGGAGAGTGGAGTTGGTGTTAATCATTATAAGAACAAAGTATGGGTATAGTAAATCTGAGAAAACAAGTTAATAAAGTTGAATACCATAAATACCGGGGGTTGAGGGGGAAATGCCCAAAACAAAGTGGGGCAGTGGTAATTATGGGACTGGTTGGCGGTGGTGGTTGTGTGCCTCCAAGTCAGTTCTGAGTCATAGCGACCC